CTGAACAATAGAGAAAGCAAAAAACTCAATTCAAAGATAAAATCAGCTAACATTTTTTTGCAAAGGTATCACTAAAGAAGTTATCTGGATAGCAAATAAGCATATGGAAAGATGCTCAACAACAGTTGCTCTTGGGGGAAATGCATATTAAAGCCACAGTTAGAAATACTGACTTACCTACCTGGGTGGCAAAAATGCAAAATTCTGATGATAACAAGTGTGCACAAGGATGTGGGCAACTGGAGCTCTCATACATTGGCCAATGGCACTACAAAACTTGATAGCCACTGAAAAATACCTTGGTAGTTTCTTTAAATGTTAAACACAGGCCCTCCCTGGTGGTGCAGTGTGTTAAAGCACAGCACTAAGAAGCTAAAGCCACTGCAGCATGAGTTCGATCCCCACCCCGGAGGTGACCCACATGGCGCGGCAGACCTCTCCTGACCTGCCTGCTGCTCCTCTCGGCAGTGTACATCATCCCTCTGCCTGTTCTGCTCCCGCTCTGTCTCTGGTGAATCCTCTCACCGCCCCTGCACCTCTGGCTTGTACCCCAGTTTTGTGTGCATAAATAAATATATTTTTTAAAAAAGTTAAACAGACTCCATCCACTCCATCCACCTACATGTAATTAGTTACCCTACATGAATCAAACTTAGGTCTACACAAACGTTTGTGGCAGCTCTACTTCTCAGTCCCCCAAACAGCAACCCAAATGTGTGTATGTGCTCTCTCTCTCTCCATGAGGTTGGTTGATATCACAGCTCAGGGGTGCTATAAATGACCAGGACTCCTTCCTTCTTCCACTCTGCCAAACTTTGACGTCATTCTAAGGCTGCTTTTCCTCATAGTCACAAGATGGCTACTGACCTCAGATGGGGGAACCTATTTATTTGCTTATATCCAGTGGAAGAAATATCAACAGCAGCAACCCCACAGAGCTTATACCTGGTGAGTACTGCTTGAAATTGCTGTGGTTTCTTAGGATCTTGAAGATTCAAGAAAACCAGCTATAAAAATAGTATTTATGAAATAGTAACACTCTGAAATAAACAGAGCTTATTACCGCATTACTAGTCATTCTTATTTGTACAGAACTCAAATTTGTAATCAATCTTTGGCAATAGCTGTGAGAAGGCTCTTAAATACTGTATGTTATGCTTGATTAACATACTGAAACTTTCTAAGTGGTATAAGTGCTCATTTATAAAACCTTTCATTGGACAGATGTGAACTCTGAGGGTCTTAGAGGTGTCAAATCACACGGTCAAATTTCAAATTTACCATCAGTGAGTGACTCAGCAAGAGGTCACATCTTCACTATCCTTCCCATAGTTCTTTACATCATACTGATTCCCTCTTCAGTGCTTAGATGTCACCAGGGAAGTATAGTAGAAATTTCAAAGAAATTTTGCAAGTTCATACATATAAGCTTAAAGTGTTAGGAAATTAACATTCTTTATATCCTCAATGATAACATTTGGCTATTTGGAATTTGAGACTCAAATGTAATAAGATAAACTAGAAGTCCTAGAGTCTCATTACTCCATCTTCCATCAACATCCAGTCAATTGTTCTGATAGGTGGGTTCTGATCCCAAATTCCTCTTGCATCCATCCCTGGTGTTCTAGTTTCACAATCCAGATATATGCTCAGTCCCTTCTTCTATATATCACATTAACCTGTCTTTTTTTCTCCATTTTTCTTCCCACAATACTTCCCACAAAATCGGACTGGATTTATATTTCTGAACAAATTACAACGATAATATACAGACCTTTTTCTTCCCCAGCTCTAATATTATTCACTCTTCTTTGACTATAAAGTCTTAACTCTATAATCTGACCTTCACAGTCCTCAACAACATATTCCTTTCCATATCTTGAGAGAATCCTTTGTGAGTGGCACTGGCAAGCAGTATTTTACTGAGGCTGCTTACAATGACTCACAAAAGCCCATCTTACACTCACACACCTCTCTTCCCAAACCTGTATTTAAAGTCATTTTGGTAGTTTGAAGTTGGTCATGGTGGAAATACTTCACATAAATCAGTCAATGCCACAAACCTGAGCTTTAATTATTTTTTTCTAGAAGAGCTGGTTATTAAATGTTTATGAGCACACCATCAGTTGCAAGATAGCCAGTATTAAATCCGAAAGTGACGGTTTGTGTGATGTGAGGGACAAAGGTATTGGCATCAAAAGCTCGGGTACCTGTCAAAGATAAGAGGGTCTGGGAGAAGAGAACAAAGGGTGGAACATGGAGAAATTCCTAAGGTGGTAGACAGGGGTAATGGTTGAGTTCCCACAGAAACAGACATTGAGAAGGGGATTTGTGTTCCAGTCGCTTATTTGAGAGGTGATCTCAGATAGCACTGGTAGGGGGGGTGAGGGAAGCGACACTGTGAAGGGCAGGTAGCTAATACAGGATGCGCTGGTGAGCAGGCTACTGCTGTGGGCAGTTAAGCCTTGGTGCCAGTGGGGGAGTGTGTACAACTCACCTCATGTTTGCCCACACGGGGTGAGGAACACTGGGAGTTTCTCCTCAGGCAGACAGCTATGGGAGTTTGCATTAAGAGGCAGGGTCACAGGGAAGGACTGAATGCCAGAAGGATGTGGACAGGACATGGACACGACATGGACACTTGTGGTTTTATGTCTTTTACAGAGTGCTTAGTGGTGGTGGAGCTTCACTGAAATGGTCAATGATTGGGAGAACCCATCTGGCCAACTGTGGGTCATTTTGCTTCCACACCCTCTTTGTTCCTTCCTTCCGATCTGCTCATAGCTTCCTTCCTTTGATCAAATACCTTTTTAGCTCCCCTCAGTTTTGACAATTCCCTAATTCATCTCAATTTATCAAAGATCAGTACCACCCTTTTCAGGAACTCCATCTAATTCCCTCCCCCCCCATGTGGAAGCTGGATAAGGAGAAAGCCAGGCCTGAGGCATCATGGGTCCTGAAGTAAGAGGTCAGGGAACAAGACCCTCCACCTTGGTTAGGATGCAGAGGGTCACAAGACAGACAGAAGGTATGTTCTGGAATCATTCCAAGTGGTGAAGTCCACGTGGGAAGGCATCATCATCCCTGTGGGTCATTCTCTCCCTCAAAGACCACCCAGCACAGGGACCTCACCAACAGTGGCTGCACAGATGGTGGTGGCAGAGAAAAATGAGCTAATGGTGGACTGGGTGAGCAAGAGGAACTAGACAGGGAGCTATACCAGGCAGCTGAAGCAGAATTAGAGGCAGCATGAAGTCAGTTAATAAAAGAACCTGGTTGAACTTCAAGGATGGGCCTCAAAGCCTGTCCTGTGTCTTTCCACATGTGACATACATGCTCGTGGCCATATATCGTCTTTTGAGATTGAGTGAAATTGCCAGTAACTAGAATCTCACTTAAAGGGTGGCTCTTTTCTTTCAATATCTTCAGGGGCTCTGAGAGGCTTCAGTTTTTCCTAGTACCTTCTGGGACTAAGATGGGAGACTAGGCTACTATCTCCATGAGGGTTTAGGAAAGTTGCTTTGGTACCTCAGAAGTGCTGTCCATCTTCTCCACCACAAAACTGTAGATATGTCTTGATTTCTCCTCAAGCATAGAGGAATCCAGTTTTTTCTGTGTGTAGGTAGCACACTGATGACATACAGTGAAGACCAGGGCTTTACATTAGCATGCATTTTAAACCATGTCTTCCTCAGTCTCTGCAAAAGGTTTCCTTCCCTCCTTATATTACATAGAACTATTCAGCTCTCTGAAACTTATCCAATAACTAGCCCATTTTGACCTTTAAAGATGCTTTATGGTCTTTTCAATCAAAACAACCCTTTTTCCTTCTACTTGAGGCTTTCTCTCTATGCCTTCTCATCACTGTGCCTTTGTGAACAATTGCCTCTGCCTGGAATATTCTTTCCAGAACAGAAGATTTGGCAGAGGTCTGGAAATCGGCCTTTCCTTCTCTACCCCACACCATTCTCTGTAAGTAGAAGGAAATAGAGTCAAGATTAATTTCCCTCTGGTAGTAATTATAACATCATAATTGTCATAGTTTACCTTAATTTAATTTATTATTTTAATTTTTATTGAAGTATCCTTGTTTTACATGACTGCTAGTGTTTTGACATTATAGGAACTACCCCCTCCTAAGTCAACACTTACTTTTTATTTCACGAACTTCTAGTAAGTGTTTAGCTGGGTTTGCTCATGTCGTATAACTTGACCAGAAGACACAGTCCATCCCCTTCCACTACCCCCCCAACCCCTTCCAGCCTTCCCAATTTGGAGGATTCCTCTCTCCTGTGATGAGGTGGAATTTTATCTGGACCTGTCCTATAGGCTTGTGAAATGGGTATTTACAAATCTTATTTACTAATCTTTACTAATCACCCTTACTGAACCATGCACTCTGCATCTTCCTTCTCTAACATTCCAACCTAGCACAGCATCTCACCCAGAATAGACTAAGAAAAACTTTGATTTATTAGGGTGGATGGATGAATGGCTGAGAGGTTTTGGACAGCCTGCTAGTGATCTGGAGAGGTCCCACCCTGTCCCCACTTCTGAGTGGGGTTTCCTCTTGAATTACTAGGCAACTCAATTCAATATTCATTGAAGACTTACTATGGGCAAGGACTGAGCTTCAGGACTGAAGCTTTTTACTCTACCTCTGTCCCTACTCCAGATTCTTGTCACCGAAGAATAGCTGTGAGGGCACTTCTTTCTATTCATTTTGTAGAAAGACAGATTTAGAGGTAAGAATGTGATTACTGGAAACAGGACTGTCACGTCTGCATCAGAGGTTTTGCACTGCCAATTCGTATTTTCTGAGTGAGTTATTTCTATGTACCTTCCCAGCACCCAGCCCTGCTGTGCCTTGCATATATTATACGCTCAATGAATACCTGTCAATAGATTTTGTGCAAGTATGTGACAGCATAAATATATTTTGAAAAATGAGGCATCTGGACAGCAAAGGTGTCAGAATTCCTACTTTAAAAAAATTACACAGTGGTGGGGCTTGGCTTAAAGTTCAAATGCTCCTGTACCCTGCCCTGCGGTATCTGTATCCAGGGAAATTTGATAAGGGTGATATTACCTTTGCTCCCTCACTGCAATCGAAAACATTCTTAGCTTTTAAGTGGATCCCACCGGCTACTTTGCAGAGGCATTTCCAGGAGTGTAGAATCATCTGCTCACTCTCCAAAGAAGATGCTGTTTAATTTGAGGGTCCTGTTGAACAATGCAGCTCTTAGAAACGGTCAGCATTTCGTGGTTCGAAATTTTCGGTAAGTAACAGCCAGAGACGTGAGTCTGCTTTAGGAGCCATAGTGATAAATGAAATTCGATTCTGCAGATGCAGGCAGCCTGCAAAGCCTGCATTCTGCAGGGTGTAATGCAAGGTTTGACCCTTATTTGAGACAGCTGTCTCTAATTCCAGCTGAGCTTTCATTTCTCAGCTCTCTGTAATCAGATTTTCTTGTGCTCTTGGGAAGGGAGGGGGCTGCTAACCTCCGCAGGTAGAACAGACTGAACGTGCTTGGCATTTTACCTTGGTGTATATGCTAAATGAGCAACTTCAACTGGCTGAAGGAAATTAGAAGAACTAATTTGCACAGGAACTTCAGTTTGTGTTTGCTTGAAAACAATTTATCACTTTCTAGGGCATGGGGATGAATCAGTACTTTAAAAGTAGCAACTAGATAAATATCTACAGAGTTGCTGCAAAGAAGCCTTCTTTGTGATGAGGATAATGATTCTTTAAAAATAAAACCCAAATTTGAAACCTATCACTGAAATTCTTGGTAGCATGTGCAAAGTAGTCTGTCTTCAACGAATTCATCATAAAAACTACATCCTGTTTACAGCCCTTGAGCATGTGGGGGAAGGTGGTGGAGATCCATTTGTGGGGAAGGGGACAGGGGAGGTGAGTTAGCAGGATAAGCAAGGCCATCAAAGGCAGCCATTGTAGCCAGAAAGTTGCTAGAGTTGCTAGAATATGGTAACAATGATGATTTTCTGAGAGCCTCCTTACAAATTAAACCAACCTCAGAACCTCTTGACCTTCTAAGGAAGAAACTTCTAGTCTGAAGTTTTCTCCCACTGTTAGCAAGTGGACCAGTAATAATGGCCCTGGGTCCCCCTTTTCCTGACCACCTCACTGCTCTGAGCTCTCTGAAGTCCACCATTTCTGCCACTTCTTTGGAAACTCTAAGAGTCTCAGAGGTTGGCATCACACTGTAAATGATTTTGAAGATAAAGTCCATAATATTAGACCTAGCTGGCACCTCGGAATAGTGGCTTTACTTTGCAGTTGGTTGCAAAGGAAGTGCAGAGTGATTATCGGGCTTACCAATGAGTGCCAGAGTTAGATCATACAACCCAAGACTTGGGAGAAACCTCAGGATTTGGAGTCTAACAGGTTCAAAACCTGATCTCACCCTTTGCTGGCTGTGTGGCCTTGAGCAAGTCACTATGCTTTTCTATGATGTTGCTTCATCTTTAAAAGGGAAAAAAAGAATATCCTCTTGCCTACCTAAAAAGGCAAACCAATCATTCGTTTGATAAATATTTCTCAAACACCTACTTTATGCCACACCCTATGCAAGGTGTTGAAGATATAGATAGTGGTAAATAAGATATTTCATTCCAGACACATGAAGTCACAGTCTGGTGATAATCAGTGAGATAATGTGTGTGAAACTGTAAAGTGACAGATGAATGTTCATTATTTTATTATTCCATCCCACTGAGTTACATTAATGTGTAATGAAAAATTTTTCCATAGTTTTAAACAAAGAATTATCATTGAGCTGAAAATAATCAACTGAATGAATAACTTAAAGCTTGGGACTTGTACTCTTGCTTGAAAATTATAGAGCTGATAGATTTTTTTTTATGACTGCTACAGGTTTAATTTTTGCAAGCAAAATTTCTTATAAATATTTAGGCTTTTTGGTATTTACTAATATTCTACTGTCTATTTCCAGTAACCAGACTACAATTCTGAAAACCCTGGCTAGCCATTTCTTCCAGTGAATGGGAGCTCAGACAAAGACATGGCTAATGCAGCCCAAATCCATACCCACTATTTGAAAAGGTGAAAGCCTCAAGTCAACCACATTGTTAGAAACTTAATAGCAGAAGTATCTATGAAAAATAGGGTTGCATTAAAATGGTATCATTTTCATGTAGTCTGGGTACACTACCTGCCAACTAGATGCATTCAGAATTACTGGTCTCTAAGAACAACTCCAGCCATAAAAGACCCCTCAACAACAGAGAAAAGCTCCCGGTCAACCCTGCCTCTCTTGTAATTTGACTTTGATTTTCAGCTTTCCACAGAGATCCAAGGTTCTCCCCCCATCTCTCTTGGGAAAGGTTCAGGGCCCCTATTACAAAACAAGCCACGTGAGTTTACCACTAGAGAATAACAGGAAATAATGTGGTCAGGATTTGGCAATGCCACAAAGGGATTGCAGTTTTGAAGTGAGCAGCCATATTGCGTTGGGCATGATAAAAATAACAGCTTAAGTGAGGCTGAAACCACTGGAGCAGGCCCACGGGTCAGTCAATTGTGGGCAATTATATGTGTGTATGTGTGTGTGCGCGCGAATGCGTATGTATACACACCCCTCCCCCACCAAGGCTGCTGAACACACCCAATACCCAGACTTCTCATCTCTCAAACAAGGATGTAGAGCTTGACTGTGTTTGCCTATTAGGGAAAACACTTATAGCTTTTAAAGGAACCACGCAAAAAAAAATCTGTCTTTATCAGAGAAGACCAATTGGTAAGTGCAGTTCAATTCCATCTCACAAATAGAAATTTCTTCGGAGAATATTGAACTAAGCCACCCAATTCTATGGAGGTTATGGACTGGAGCTGAGGTGACTGGTGTGTAGGTATTCATTCCAGACTTCTCTGAGGGCTTACATAACTCCTTCAGTTCCCTTTACACCCCCTCGCCCGTCCACACACACACACACACATGCCCACCTAGCTATACGGAGAAAGCAATGGCAGGCCTACCACACTCTTGTGTAGAGGAGTGCACACAGTCTGTTCAGGTTATTCACATTTTCTGTCACAATTTACCAGGAGTGCCTTACTAAAGTTATTTCTTGATATCAGAAAAGTACACTGGGCATAAGGCCAGGACTGGAATGGGTCATGTTTCCTTGGCCAACAGTAGAATATAGAATTGGGGGTTTATTTCTAGTTTGTTATTTTTAATAATGTAGTAATTTAACTAAGATAGAAGGAGAGGCAGCTACAGATGTTCAAACGTTTCGAGTTTCCAGCCCTTTAATAGCAGCTCTGCTCAAAGTTAACCCTCATTTCACTCTCCAATTTTCAGATAAGTTTCACAATTTTAGGATATTGTCAAATTTACAATAGACTACCTAGACACCAGTTACCAGTACTAATTTATACCACATACAAGGAAGTGCTAAGTGTGAGAAAAATTACAAGCCAATTTTTATTAAAATATTAGTATTCTAGTTAATAATTAAGAAATTTAAAATGACCTGTGGTATTTTTCAAATCAGATCAGATTCAAGGTTTTTGTGAACATGAAGTCACTTTTCTATGCATGCATTGCAATCTGCCTTTCTGAGGTGGAAAGAAAAGGCTAGAATGAATATCAGGTCTCTGAGAATTCAGAGAGCCCAGGATAGCCTACGGAAAATATTGTCTTTATAAACTTCATGAGAGCTGTCGAAAACAGAGACAGGCACCATCAATGATGTTTAGTTTATTTTCTTCCCTTTCAGCTGAGGAATCTCAGAGGTCAAAGTTAGGAAAGGTCCTACTTGAACTAAGACTAGAATTTAAATATTTAAAACCACTATACTCATTATTTCACTGTTTGGGTTATTTTGATCCCATCAAACTGATTAATTGGGCCAAGCTAACCTTGAGTAACATTCTTTTTATAAGGTACAGTCAAACTATCTCAGTAAAAAATAAAAACATCAAGAAAATATGCCTTAACTCTTGCTCCTGTCTGTAACATTAAAGACATACCAAAACCTCAGCCATAATGTCCACTCACTCTTAGTACTCCAGAAGTTAAAGTCTATCTCAAACTCTCCATGGAGATCAAAATATCATTTAACCTTGAATTCTTTTCCTACTCTGGCGAAGTCTGTTTCTGACTGACCACATTTTACCAAAATCAAGCACTTTCTCTTCCAGCAAAATACAATTATACAAGGGAACCCATCCAGGTCTCCCTCATGCTCCAAACATTTTACCAGACTTGGAAAACATATACACTAGCAATGAAAGACTTCACTCTGCTAGTAGAGAATACTCTTCCATTTTCTAGAGAGCAAGGTATTTGGGCAAAGTTAACCACAAATGCATGTTACCCTGGCTTAACTTCTTAGCACTCGGTGATTGGGAGTTGAGAAATCGCTGTAATTCTTTTTTTCAAGGGATAAAATTACTGTAAGCACCTTATCTGTCTTCTTTAAAAACTGTGGCTTTCCCCAAACACAATGACAGTTTTTATGGAAAACCTGTAGGTAGTTTCTGCTGTTTTCTCCAAAATTGTATCCTCCCTATATGTACTGGCTAAAAACGACTGTGATTTAGGTCTAGTTTTCCAAGGAATTACACTCGAGAACAAGACGACCAAGTAATTTTGGGGAACACTACAATAGTGATACTTGCTCCATTTGGCTGTGCATGAACCAGAGTAGATGGTCTCCGAATGAGGTTCGGGGTCCCATGACATTCGTCACTTACGCTGGTGGCTTTACTTGGCTATTTTGAGTGTGGGATTATCGTCAGAATGTAAGAAAATGCTTGATACAGACCAGAAAAACGGGCAGTGTGAAAGCATTTACAGGGTACAAGGGTACAAGGAGCTCTTCCACTTCTTTTTAATTTTTAAGAGGCGTGACAGCTCCATTTTGGAGCCAAGGGGAGGTCTACGAGAAGATGGTAAACAGGATAGGAATTCAAACTGGAACCATTGTGTTTGCTTTCCTTTCAGTGATAAATTTTCCTGGTTAGCTCTTGATATCTATGAAAAACAACTCTTTTTCCCAAGAGAACATTTCCTGCCCCACCTCCTGGATAAGAGTGAGAAACTTAATGACTTTTCTGTGGTATAAACAGTATGACCCACTTTACCATTCCCAGCTACTCTGTCCTTACTATGTAAGATCTACCTCACTACCTGATCTCTTCTCAGCAACCCTGGGGACTTGTTCTGTGAAAAAAGGGTGTGTGGAGTTAGGAAGCCAAAGTATGAGTTGAATTCAGTGTGTGTGT